ATATAGAAAATAGGCTCGCAGTTAGGGATAATGAAAAGAAAGATTTCTTAAAAATAGCAATGGATCATGAGAAATCAATCCAGAAGCTGCTAAATAAGGCAAGGAGAAACAGCTTCAGATTGATTGGAATCAAAGAAAAAGGAGATAGTACAAGTGATATAAAAAAAAGTTCATGGATATCATCAAAGAATTTGACATACAGTAAGTGAAGCATATATAACTCCAATTAGCCATGATAAAAACAATTCTACAGCCAGGCATATCAGAGTCAAGATTTCAGAAATTCAACACAAGAATAGAATCTTAAAAGCTGTTAGAGAAAAGAAACAAATTATCTACTAAGAAAAGCCCATCAGAATCACAGCTGACTTCTCAGCACAAACCCTCAAGTCAAAGAGTGCCTGGAGGGAAGAATTTCCAGTTCTAAAAGAAAACAATCTTCAGCCCAGATTGATGCATCCTGCAAAACTATCTTTTAAAACTGATGAAGAAATAAGATACTTCCATGACAAAGAACATCTGAGGAAATTTATTATCACCACAAAAGCACTCCAAAATGTTTTGAAGGACATTCTAGAAAGAGATAACAAGGACTACTACTACTCCATAAACCCCAATAGAAGAAATTCACCAGGCAAGGCAAACCATTAAACAGAGCGAAGGAAGAAGTGGGGCGAACAACAAGAAAATAACATGACAAGGAAAAATCAATACATATCAGTTATAACCATCAATGTTAATAACCTCAGTTCATGAACCAAAAGATACAGACTGGCAGAATGGATCAAGAAACAAGCTCCAATAATATGCTGAAAACAAGAAACACATTTAATTCAAAAAGAAATTCATAGACTGATAGTGAAAGGATGGGAAAAAATACTCCATGTGGCAGGAACCCAGAAAAAAGGAGTACCTATTCTATTTGCAGATAAAATGAATTTCAGGCTAAGACTGATTAAGAAAGATAAAGAAAGTCACTACATCCTTGTTAAGGGAACAGTCCAAGAGGAAGAGATAGCAATCATAAATTATTACAATCATGTATATGCACTCATGTATATGCAACAAACACCAGTGCATCCAACTATATAAAACAAATATTAATGGCCATGAAAAGTCAAATAAGCACTAATAAATACATTTGTATTTGGGGATCTCAATACCCCACTGTCACAAAAAGACAGATCAACTGGACAAAAAAAATCAACAATGAAATATTAGAAGTGAACCAAGCTTTTGAAAAAATGTACTTAGTAGATGTCTACAGAGTATTCCACCCTACAGCATCAGAATACACATTCTTCTCAGCTGTACAAGGGATGTTCTCCAAAACAGACCACATACTCACTCATAGTACATGCTTAAGTAGATACAAATGAATTGAAATTGTCTCGTGCATATTATCAGCGCACAGTGCAATGAAATTGGAAATCAATGACAAAATAAACCACAAGAACTTCATAAACACATGGAAATTAAATAGCACCTTCCTGAACAATCAATGGGTCCCAGATGAAATTGTAATTAAACAGTTTCTACAATTAAATGACAACAATGAAACATACCATAACTTATGTGATACAATGACAGCAGTCCTGGGAGGGAAATTTGTAGCAGTAAATATCCATATCAGGAAAACAGAGTAAGCACAAATAAAGATCTTACTGGTGGACCTCAGATTTCTAGAAAAAGAAGAGTAGGCTAAACTAAAAGCATGTATGAAGGAGAAAATGATAAAAATCAGAGCAGAAATTAATGTCTAGGAGAATAAAAAAATACAAAGAATAAATGAATCAAACAGTTGTTTCTTTGAAAGAGTAAATACAATTGACAAACCCTTATCCAACCTCATCAAAAAAGGAAAGAAAAGGCTCAAATCCACCCAGTTAGAAATGAAAAGGGTGAAATCACAGCAGAACCTGAAGAACTCTGCAAGATCATCTATACCTACCTTGAAAACTTGTATTCTAATGAGATGGAAAATGCAGAAGAAATGGACAGATTCCTAGATACATGTGAATTACCAAAGCTGAATCAAGAAGATATAAAAATCCTAAATAAAGCAATATCAATCAGTGAAATCAAAGATATAATTAAAAACCTACCAACAAAGAAAAGCCCAGGCCTTGACAGCTTCACTGCTGAATTCTACAAGAAATTTAGAGAAGATCTAACACCACTACTTCTCACACACTTTAATGAAATTGAAAGGGAAGCAATACTCCCAAATTCATTCATGGAAGTGTGACTCTGATACCAAAACCAGACAAGGATCCAACTAAGAAAGAGAATTACAGGCCAGTTTCCCTAATGAACATAGATGCAAACATCCTCAGTAAGATACTAGTAAAAAGAATGCAGCAAATCACCAAGAAGATTATACGCCATGACCAAGTGGGATTCATCCCAGGGATTCAGGGATGGTTCAATATATGTAAGTCAATAAATGTAATACACCATATTAACAGATCCAAGGACAAAATCATACAATTATCTCAATAGATGCAGAAGAACCTGTTGGTAAAGTCCAGCACCTATTCATGATTAAAAAAAAAAAAAAAAAAAGCCTATGGAAAATTGGAATAGAAGGTCTTTATCTTAATCTGATTGAAGCCATCTATGTTAACCTAACAGCTAACATCATACTAAATGGAGAAAAATTGAAAACTTTCTCTCTAAAATCAGGAACAAGACAAGGATGTCCAGTGTCTCCACTCTTATTCACGTAGTCCTGGAAATTTTAGTTAGAGTAATTAGACAAAAAGAGAAAGAAATAAAAGTAACAATGATAGGAGAGGAAGAAGTTAAATTACCATTATTTGCATATGATATGATACTGTATATAGAAGACCCCAAAAACTCTGCTAAAAAACTGCTAGATTTAATGACCAAACTGGGCAGCATAACTGAAAGTCAACACTCAAAAATCAGTAGCCTTCCTGTACACAAATAACAAATTCACTGAGAGAGAAATTATGGAAAACATACCCTTCACAATAGCATTCAGAAAAATGAAATACTGAGGAATCAATCTAACAAAGGATGTAAAAGACCTCTACATTAAAAAGTACAGTACTCTGAAAAAAGAGATTGAAGTGGATATTGGAAAATGGAAAGACACCCCTTGCTCTTGGGTAGGAAAAAGCAATGTAGCGAAAATGGCCATACTTCCAAAATTGTTACACAGATTCAATGCCAATCAAATTCAATTTCAATCAAAATTCCAATACTGTATCTCACAGAATTAGAGAAAACAATCCTAAAATTGATTTGGAACCAGAAGAGACCTAGAATAGCAAGGGCAGTTCTGGACAACAAAGGCAAAGGAGGAGGCATCAAAATCCCTGTCTTGAAATTGTAGTATAAAGCCACTTTGATAAAAACAGCTGGTACTGGGGGAAAAAAAATGGACTTCAAGATCAGTGGAACAGATTAGAAGATGTAGACTTACTCAGCCACTTTACCTTTGACAAAGGGACCAAACACCATCAGTGGAAGAAAGATAGCCTTTTAATAAATGGTGCTGGAAAAACTGGCCCTGAACATGTTGAAGATTAGAACTGGACCCATATCTTTCACCATGCACTAAACTAAATTTGAAATGGATCAAGGATCTAAATATTAAAACAAGCATTAAATCCATTGGAAGATAGGCTAAGTAAATTTCTTGAAAACATTGGTCTAAGCAAAGACTTTCTGAATAAAACCCAGATTGCACAGGAACTATCACAAAGTCTCAACAACTAGGATCTCATCTTATTAAAAAGCATTTGTACAGCAAGAGAAATCACCAATAGAGTAAAGAGATAACCCACAGTGTGTGAAAAATGTTTGCCAGCTCTTCCTCAGACAAAGAATTACTATCAAGAACATATAAAGAACTAAAAAAAAATCAGACCTTCCAAATTTAAAGAACCAATCCAAAAATTGCCTTCTGAGATGAATACACACTTCTCAGATGAACAAATACAAAAGGCAAATAAATATATGAAAAAATGTTCAACATCACTGGTCATTCAATAGAGACAAATTCAAACAACACTGAGATTCCATCTCACCCTCAAAAGAACGGCTATTATCAAGAAATCAACCAATAACAAATTCTGGAGAGGCTGAGGGGAAAAACAAAGCCTACTCCGCTGCTGGTGGGAGTGTAGGCTGGTGCAACCACTGTGGAAATCAGTCTGGAGATTCATCAAAAATCTAGGATTGTAGGTCCCATTCAACTCAGCTCTTCCTGTGCTGGATATCTTCCTTAGAAGAACTAAAAACATGCTACCACAGCAATATATGTGCACCTATGTTTATAGCAGCACAATTTGTAATGGGGTATTTTGTCTCAGTAATGAGTAAAAGTAACTAAGACAATTCTATTTATATTAATTTCATTAATGGCCAAATTATGTTTTGGTGATAGAGATCAGAACAATATAGGGAAGACTGACCAAAAAGGATGTGAGGAAATTATTCAGGTTGATATAAATGTCATATGTCTTGATTGAGGTGAGGGTTGTATTAAGCTCATTGATTTAGGAACTTGAATACAAGAACTCAAGATTTATTATACTTCACTCCATGTAGACTTTATCTCAATTAATTAAAAAAACCCAGCCTACTCCACTGAGGTAACTATAGTCTTTGTCGCACTTTTGCTTTCATAGATAATTTACCCAAAAAACATATAGTGTTGGATTAATGTTAAAAGCTTACTTACTTATCTTTTAGGAGAACTGTTTAAAGCATTATCCCTTTAAATGAAATTTGATTATCTTTTGGCCATTAGAATATTTAATCCATAGTTTACCCATCATTGCTGCACTATCCAATGAAGTAGAATGATGTCCCTTAGAGTACTTGAAGTCTTTTACTTAAGGTCTAATTATTTTTATTTTCTACAGTAGAGAAATATGTATTGCATACTGATGAGATGGAAGTGGAAAAGAACAAGAGTATGTGAAATAAGCAGTTACTAGCTGAAAGGAAAAGTCTGAGGGCCTTACCTTATAAAATCTATTCTTCATCTCTCTATTCTGCTTTTACCATGGCAGCCCAAGCTCCTCTGAATATCCAGGGAGAAAGCTGGTAGAAACAGGAGCAGAATAGCTGGGAGCTCCAAAATTTACATCCACTCTTGTGAGAGCTTGTGCTAGTATATACAGTTGCTGAGGTAACCGGAACTCTAGTCTCTGTCTCTTAGATGTAGCCTGGCAACTTGTCAACAAAAGGGACTGCACTGAGTTCTCTAGTAACCAGTCAGAGAAATACAATACAAGGGCGAACGAATCAGAAACTGACAGCAAAATAGATATGAACCTCAACTTCCCGTGAGGTTGGCTCCAGGACTTTACTAAGGGAATTCACATCCGACAAGGAGAGACAGATTATCTGACATCACAAGGTTTTCCTCGGTTGTAGGAATGGGGTGCAAACACATTTTTTGTTTTGTTTTCTTTCTGGTTTTTTTTTTTTTTTTTTTCATTTTGTTTTTTAAGATACTGTCTTGCTCTGTAGTTCAGGCTGGCCTTGAACTTACTATGTAGCCAAGGCTGGTCTCAAACTCATGGCGACCCTCCTGCCTCAGCCTCCCTCCTGAGTGCTGGCATGTGCCACCACATTTGGCTGTAATTTGTTTTAAGAAAGAAAAAGCTCCTGAAATTTACTGATTACTGATCTTTTGTAGGCACTTTATAAAGTATGTTTTATGTAAAAGAGCTGGAACTTTCCTAGAAAAAGAATATGGGCACTTTGAATAGTTCTCAAAGAGTACTCTAGGTGTTGGTCTAAAATGCATGCAGCTATTCACTGTAGAAGGTGTGGATAGTTTATTTCTAACATATCCTAAAATATAGAGAACAATTTCAAGATCAGTATTTGAAAATATATTCGGATAGTGATTTTTTAAATGTTCATATTTAAAGCACTCTGAGATTAAGAATTGTGGTAAAATACCAAGTGAAAATAGTCTGCAAGTATGGAAGCAAATAGGCAAGATGGTTTGTTACTGTCATGGGGAAGTGCACAACATATTTCCTAAAGAGAAGCTGCACAAGCAGGGTCCCCAGTCTAGATGCTGGCTAGTCCACAGTCTGTCTGAAACCAGGCCTCCCAAAAGGATGCAAGCTCCCAGTGACAAAAGCCCCCCACCCCGCCCCCGCCACACTGGTGATACTGCTCAGAGTTACAGCCTCTGCAAGGCTCACTGGAAAGCAAACACTGCTGGAAGCTGTGCCTTCCAAGCATCTAGCCTGTGAGCTCCTCTGAATCATCCTGAACCCACCATTCCCATGGAAAAGCTGTCTTCCATAAAACTGGTCCCCGGTGCCAAGAAAGTGCAACCATTGCTACAAAATGCAATTAATAATAGTTTCTCATTAAACTCTGTTTGTGTGAGTATGCTTGTGTGTGTGTGTATGTGTGTGTGTGTGCAGGTATATGCACACACATACTTAACTCCCAAGACATATTTCCCAAAAATACCAGTGATTACATTACTTATGTGTGACAAGGATAAGGAATACATTATTGAATGTTTCTTAGGTAGAGATTAAGAAAACACAAAACCTTACTCTCTCATATTCCAAAACCCTGCCCCTTGTGCCCTAGATAATTTAATTGGGATATGTAGAAAATTCACAGGACTGTTAATTGGGTCCAAGTGACATTGGACCACAGTTTAAAGACCATTTTGGGTCATCAGACTCCATATGCTAACTTGCTTTGGTGCTGTGAAAATGAACAGAGGTATCCTCTATAGAGATTTAAAGATAATCCTTTTATTTTATTACATAAAGCATTTCTAGTTTGAACACCTTTTCTCCAACTAATCATAAGATACCATAAATATGATAATGTATGACTGAAATGACATAAGAGCTGTTGTTACAATATGAGTGACTAAATATTGAAATGGGGCAAGAAAACAGTGCAATTTGGCATTTTACTAATAGTTAACATATTTCTCATGTTACAGAAATTGCATGCTTTTTCAGCCCAATTATGAACTAAATGAAATATTTCTCTAAAGAAGTTAGCCAATAAAAAACATAAATCTTGCATGGCTATATCTGGTAATCTGAGCAACTACTTTGAAGATAACAATAAGTAAAACAGCAACTATTGCTGATTTCCTATCATCTTGTTTTGAATTTCTGTATCGTTTTTCTAGTTTTCGTTTTTACTCTTAAAAATAAAAAAGAAAACAAATAAAACAAGAAAGGAACAATTAGAGCTTATATTGTTTGGTCAATTTTGCATGCTTGTATCTGGTAATCTGAGCAACTACTTTGAGGATAACAGTGTGCAATATAATCACTATTGTTAATTTCATATCATCTTGTTTTGAAATTCTATATCATTTTTATTGTCTTTTTCTCTCTTTAAGAATAAAAAGTTTTAAAAACAAATCACTTTACTTTGAAAGTCCAAGACACACACACACACACACAAACACCCCAAACACACACACACACACACACACACACACACACACACACTGTTCAGTCCAATAGCAGGCTCTTTGTACCAAAGTCAGGATGACAGGAAATGCTAGTCTGGGACAGGACATCTTCAGGAAAGCTGGCAAAGAGCAGGGATTCCTTTGCTAAAATAGGGCAAGGGGTTCCTTATCCTGACCAGGACTACTCCTTTCAAGAAGCCCCAAAATAGCAGCCTATAGCAGTTGTTTAGCTCGGAGTTAAAGACTGCTTTTCTGCATTCATCCAGCCAGCTTTTAAAACTGGCTGGACAGGAGCTGTTGTTTTTTCCCAGATTCTGGACTTACTTGAAGATTCACGTGTATGTAGTTTTATCCTGCATTGAACTTCTTGATCTTCCAACTTATTTCATCTCAGCAAAATAGGTTTCCTAGGCTCCCTCTCCCTCTCTCCCTTTTCTCTCTTTATCTTTATTTTTTTAAGGGACCAAAACTTTTAAGCTGCTTTATATTGGGGGAGGAGGGAAGCAATCAAGCGTGGAAGGCATGTTGGACATCAAATAGCTCTTTCGACACACAAACTCTTTATTATTTAAGTGTAAATGAAGCACAAACATACGGATTCTATTTCCCATAAATCACACAAGGTCCTCAAAAATCAAGGGAGAATGTATTCTGCACAATGTGTTCTGTTTGGTTGAACCAAAAGCGTCTGAAAAATACTTCCAGAATGATGAATCCAAAATATTTACCCATCCCTATTTATATATTAGGGATGTTATATATTTATAACATTGTTATAAATAATGTTTTGTATATTTATAACATTGAGGGGGGGACACTTGATTTATGGTGACAGCTAAACTGTGCACATCTGTTGAATGGGCAGCCAACAGCCAGTGTGAACCTCAAGATAACCTTGTTCCTGCATCTGTCTGGGCTTGGACACTTAAGCACGGTTCAAAGACACCGAAGCCCTTACTTAAACAGGGCTGCTCTGCTTTGCTGTTGCTAGAGATTTGCTCACTTGAAAGACTTGCAAGTTATCTCAAATTACGTGGTAACTCACCATGTTTGTGTCAATGTGGGACGATGTCAACATTTACCAATAATCCAGATCCAAACCCTTGTAGCAGCAATCCACCACAAGGAGTTCTGGTTTATTTTCCTTCATAAGCCACAGCTATTGTCCCTGTGCACAGGCCCCTGAATTTTTCATTAAAGAATAAATCATTGTAATTTTATGGAGCAGGAGGACACTGTCTCCTGGCTGGTATTCCTGACCATCCTTATGTCTTTTTATGGAATCACACTCCATATGATACTGAGAATTCTTTCAAGTTCATTTAACTTTGGCAGGGACTACATCCTGTGTGCAAGGATTTTTTTAATGGCAGCGGAAACCCAAATAGGATGTTTGTGAAATCCTGCAAAATAAATCCACTGGGGACCTTGTTGTGTTTTACCAAATTATTATTAATTGCATTCTGATCACCTAGCTCAGAAACAGTGCCAGCCACTTACAACTGGTTCTCAAATCCTTGGATGATAGTGGGATTAGATTTAGTATCTTTGTTTGATAGTTGATGAAACTGGGGCCCTGAAACATGAAGGGATGTTCTTTTGATTGCCAGCCTAATCCAAAACAAATCTGGGAAGGAATGTATGCTTTTCTGGTGCCCAATGTCTTTCCTTCTACTGTCTCCTGCAAGATTTCACTGATAGCCACAGATCAAGGTCTGACCTCAAAAGAAAGGATTGTTCTTCAAAATCTCTTTTGTCCCAAGAACAGCCTCTGCGTAATTAAGTTTTACATATTACATGGAACTGAACATGTTTAAATTTAAAGCATTACCAAAAATGTCCTATGGTAGATTAAAAAGGAAGGAAGATGGATCCACCCTAAGTACAAACTAAAAAGTTTTTAAATTATATTTAACATAGAGAGTCCTGTCCTATACAGATCCTGTCTCTAGGATTCCCTGCCTTGGGGCAGGCTTCTCAACCTTAGCTGTGATTATTAACCTCTGTCAAGACTTTTGAGTTTTTCCCTACTCTTTCTATTTCTATCATGAAATTTTTATACCACAGTGATACCTTATATTTGTTTATGCGTTCAGTGATTTGAGTGGGTCGTAAACCAGTTATCTAAGGTGAGGTTCCCTTGCCCTATGCTGTGGGTGTTTATTGTCCCCATGGACATGATGACAAGGCATCTACATCTAAAGAGCTTGCAGTGGTGGCCTCAGATGCTCTCATGGTCAAGCGTATCTAAAGCAAAAGTGACCAAGAGGCCACGGAAACCATGTAACCCTCCCCAAGTTGTTCTTTCAAAAAAGTAAAGCAAATTTTCCCTTGTGTGCAAGAGAAAAATATTTTTGTTTTAAAAGTGGAAACAGCTGTATTATATTTTTATGCATATGAGCAGTTTGATCAATGAGGTAGAACTCTTAGAATAAAATAGACTTTAAAATTAGTATCTAGTCCAGCTGTATGTTTCCAGGCAAAAAAATAAGGGAGCAATTATTGATCTGACTTTCCCTTTCTATGGATAGGGGTATTGTCTCAGTGTTATACTTAATGTTTCACTAATTATAAAATATTTTGCATATATTATGTGGTAAAACTTCCTGTTTTAGGTTTTACGTTTTAGATTTTAGGTTTTAAATTTTTCCTGTGTGTCTGGACAACTCACGCCAATTCTGGCACAGTTGTCCGTTTCTTTTCCCAACATCC